TGAAAATAACTCGAAATCCAGAAAAGTGTATGAAACATCAATACGGTACTTGACCATGAATACCCTGTACCCAACAAAATCTTAATTTTGTTTATTGTAAGACCCATGACGGATGAAGTTCTTTAAGAAACATGACACGTAGGGGGACAAACCGTGGAAGGCACAGCGCAAGCACGCATGTACTGCACGTTCTGTGGTAGGGGAAATGACAGAGCGTTAGAGGGGCCGTCTCATGATACTTTCAGTCGCAATCTGACTCGCTCATGCCATAGATCTCGTCGTCGGAAGTGCTGGTGCCTGAACCGACTGCCACTATTATAGGTTGGACTTATGCTGGCCGTAGTCCATCTCGTGACCAATAACGTGGCTCTATCTCGTCAACGACTGTGGCCACACAGCGCCTCGATGTTTCTACTGTTACCCGACCAACGGATTCCTTTACGAGTTGTTCAACGTCTCGTAATTTGAACGTTGTGTTCGATCGTCCAACGTCAACCTTGACGATGCCCCATACCAACTGGATTGGATTCAGTTCGCAGTGATAAGGTGGCAGTCGTAAGACAGCGTGACCCTGACCCTTGATGTAACTGTCAACTTTATACACGGGGTCAGGTTTCATAGTTTTGATGATTTCATAGAGCTGTGGTTTCGTCGCTCGAGAGGGAAAGGTAATGTTCCTCCGTTGCAGCCAAGTAACCATGTCTCCTTTACGGTTATTAGAGGTTGGAGTCATGCTTTCTGGATCCTGCACACTATGATACGGTGCAATGTCCATGACAATGAGAGACTTGGTAGGCAAAGCAGGGACTAATTTATCTTTCACCCACTCCAGATATACATTGCCGTTCATTTCTGTGTGGTAGTCCCTGTTGTCTTTGGCCTTGGCTCTAAAGACGAGGTCACAGTCTGGGAGAAAACCATGACTAGCAGAACCAGCATGGAGAACTATGAGTCTTTCACCCTTTCCCATTGGTAACTTTCTACCAGACTCCTTACAGTCACCACTGGGTACCCACTGACTGCTGGCTGTGTGTGACGCATTTACCCATGTCTCATCTAAGAAGACGGGCTCATATCCTTCTTCACGTTTCTGCTTGATGGTACGAAGGTAATGATTTCGGAGACGAACAATGTCAGACCGTTCACACAACACAGCCCTATTTTCTCCAGTTATCTCTTTGTATTTGTAACCAAATGTATGCAACAGCTGCCATAGTTTGTACTTTGTAACACGTAAATCATGGTCAGTTTCAAGGTGTTTCTTCAAAATTCTTAGGGACAGGTACTTATTTTCTGAGTGCAGTTTAACAATTGCACGTCTGACTTGATCCCTCTGAAAACTGTCTAATTTATAAACCTTGCGTGGTTTTGACATGTTCCCTACCTCCTTGCCCTGACCATTTGTATCTCGTCGACTAACAACATTTTTAAGTTTCTGAGGGGACATACCAAGAGCTTTTGAAGCTCGTTTCAAGAATTTATTAATTGCATAAAAAGGCTTTGCTCTTTCTGCTTCACTTCTAAAGAAATCATACACATTCAACATCAGCTGTTTAACATCTGCTGAGTAGCGCATCTTGTCATTGAATGAACACGGTCACTGTAGCACGTGCAGACCGTGTTTGCGCTGTTCCTTCCACGGTTTGTCCCCCTACGTGTCATGTACACATTTCAAAACAAAATTACATGATAGTTTCTTAAAGAACTTCATCCGTCATGGGTCCTAAAATAAACAAAATTCAGATTTTGTTGGGTACAGGGTATTCATGGTCAAGTACCGAATTGATGTTTCATACACTTTTCTGGATTTCGAATTATTGTGCAATTCGTCGTTCTCATTTGGAGTCAAACGGACTTTATCATCCAAAACTGGCTCCCACAGGAGATATCGCTTGGGTGAGATCAAGCGATATCTTCACTGTAGATATCGCTGCAATGAAATTACATCACAATGCTTTGCAGACCATTGTGACGTCACTGGTTACCATGACGTCACAATCAAATGACATCACTAATGGCTCTCCTACTGAAGCTGTTTGCAGTACTTTTTTCACTAATATACTGCTAATTACTGTCTACAAATTGAAAAAGTTGGAAGAATGATGTTGGATGATAAATAAAATCTCACCCTCGTGTCTTTTGATATCAAATATATCAACACTCGTTGATAAAAGTGGCAAAAATCCTCGGCAAGCCTCGGAATTTTTCCACTTTTATCAACTCGTGTTGATATATTTGATATCAAAAGACACTTGGGTGAGATTCTCTATGTAATCGATTGTTTAAAATTGGCATACATCATCGTCATTGACCCATGCAGGTGCAAATGGCACAAATGGAACAATAGATCGTAAAGGTGAAGATCACCCGTTCAATTTCTTGTATGGCCACCATTTGACTGGCATCCTCGTCCAAAGGAAGCAGACCCATGAAGATCCAGGGTAGAATAGGTCTTCAGCATCCCATGCTTGCCGCGAAAGGCGACTATAAGGTTGTCGTAGGAGGCGACTAACGAGATCGGGTGGTCAGGCTCGCGGAGTTGGTTGATGCACGTCATCGATCCAAATTGTGTGTATCTATGCTCATGATGTCAATCACTGGATTGTCTGTTCCCGACTCGATTATTTGCAGACCGCCGTCATAAAGCTACAATATTGATGTGTGCGGCGTTAAACAACAAAGAAAACAAACAAACAAAATCCAATTGAAGCAACCAGATCCCGATTTGTGGCCTATTGAATGTTCACCCACTCTGCCTGCTGTGTTTGTGCCAACTCTCAGAGGTTCTGTTTGTTGCTGACGTGCTCGCAGTCGTTGATCCAGTGCATTATATAAATGTTTGATTTGGGTTTAAATGTGGAGACCTGGAGGGCCATGGCAGAACCTGGATGTTCTAATTCCTGAAAAAGGTTTTTGACAGTCTTGTCGCGTGAGGTCGGGCGTTGTCTTCTTGTGGCTTCTTGTATGATGGGTAAGACGCGTGGCCGAAGAATCTCATCCGTGTAACGTTGTGTAGTAAAATTCCCCAGAACTTGCACCAAGTCTGTTCTACCAGTGCAGGAGATGACCGGCCACATCATCACACTACCTCCACCAAATCTGTCCACTTTCTGTATGCAGTTTCGTGCATAGCTTTCCCATCCGCACATTGAATCATAAAACGTGATTCGTCACAAAACCAAATTTGTCTCCATCACAGTTGTGACCATATTCAGTGACATTGACACCATTGACGTTGCAGTCCATGATGCAGGTCCGTCAAAATGACACCTCAGACCTTCAGCGCGTAAACGATTCCTCACTGTCTGGGCCGATATCCTACCCAATCCTGATAATTCCGTAGTTGTAGAGGTGGTCGTGGCGGTTCTTTCACGTAAGTGACGTATGAATCTATCCTGTGATCTAGTAGTGATAAGTGGTCTACCGGATGTGGGAAGGTCGCGTGTTGTCCCGTGTGTCTGGAAACGGTTCCACAGTCGTGTAATGGTGTTTGGTGCAACTAGGAAAAACCTGGCTTCAGCTGAAGATGATTCTCCTGTTTGCAGTCGGCCGATGGCGTTGTGCTTCCGTCAGTCCTGACATGTTTCCTCTGTTCACTTTGGACCGTACGTTTGCAGTGTTTCGACGACTGTCTTCAACCTCTTAACGTTTTTGATAACGTTTGTAATTTTTAAGTCAAATCCAATTTTTAAGAGTATACTTTCTTTTGCTGTCCGGTTATTTATAGAGATCGAAGAATATCAATTCAGCAAGTCTCAATTAATATTTCCAATAGTAACACTCATCATCCACTACATGGGTTGGCATCACAAAGACAATATTGTCTGAATAACTGTCATGTTGTGCATGTTGAAAACATGGTTTTATTCAAAGACAACAGTGTATTATATTCGTATAATTCTTTCTTTGTGAAGTTATGGACTTAAAAAATTATAGCAGTATTTTATACATTTAATGTTGCAAATTACTTTGAGTGAGTGAGTGAGTTGGGTTTTACGCCGCTTTTAACAGTATTCCACAATCGCGGCGTGTCAGCTTAATGTGGGAGGAAAGCCCGAAGTGATTCAGGTCTTAGACGTTTACCACTTCGGTGAAACCCACGAGCACGGGTATGGTATTGACAAACCTAGAAACATAAGCGGGGCGAACCGGGATTCGAACCCACGATCATAGGTTTCTGGCGTGCCCAAGGGACGCAACTCTGCACAGCGAATCGCGGCGCCTTAGACGACTGGGCCACCAATGCCCCCCAAATTACTTTGAAGCAGCACATTGTATTACTTAAATTTGATACGTATTTTTGATACGTAAATTTGATAAAACAGTAAGTCATCAACATGTGATAGATTTGGTAAACAATACAAGTAGGGTTCATTAATGTCGTGTGTACGTTGCATACATAATGTGCACAGGTACAATGTATATAACTATATAATGGATTACGTTGGCACGTCTTGGCCCGGCCCGACCCGACTTTTAGCCAATCTAGACTTTTTGTATATTGCTTTTGGGAACTTGTAGAAATGAATCGTGGTGAAATTAATTCCGCTGCAGTTTGTTCTACGTGAAACCTTATTTTGTCTGGACTAGTTACCGTCTATATGGGACACAGATTGTACACTTGCCGCTCGCATGTCATAAGCGCTCTCAGTTTAACACCGCATTCGTCACCACTCGCCCCTTTCCGTAACCTGCAAGAAGACGTCCCCCCCCCCCCCGTCGATGAATGTTATCATTCGTCACCACGCGCCCTTTTCCGTAACCTGCAAGAAGATTCGGCTTGTCCCGGAATAACACGAGTTGGGCACGAACAACGCACCCAGCGGGTAATGGTTCTAAGCTGTGCCCCGTCTCCAATATCACAAGAACCAGCTTAGTTATGGTTCCCGCTCCTTATGCGCGACGACAACTTGCGCAAGTGATATCAGAGACGGGGCCCAGTTTGTGAACAACTGGGTATGCTGCGGGTCTGCGTAAAATAGCGACGACCTATGCTGCGCTTGTTCGTTAAAAGGCAGTGGCTATTTTACACACTGTGAGACAGTGTGTATGCGTTAGTTTTATCGACTGTCGCACTCTTGTGAAGACTGAAAATTTGTAAGAAGGGAATATTTTCACAAAATAGTTTGTCCTTACTTTGGTCATTTCAAAACTTTGGGAGTGTGGCAGCATCTGGTAAGGTGAGTTATTGCAATAGCGATACAGACTGACGGTGATTTCCGGGGCGGTATTGTCACCTATGTTCGTCGTATGTCACTATAGATGTGTTTGGTACTTGTCTTTGGGGCATACTCCGCAATGACAGCGATTTGTTTTCGAACATTCATATCAATCCTGGTTTGTCGCGTTATTATGATTGGTGTAACGTCATCAAAGTTGCCGAGTTGACACTGCATAGATCTATCATCTACATCAGACCTGTCATTGTCAACGAGATTGGCAGATATTTCTGTCATTCCAAATTTGGTGCACATGTTATGTTAAATGTAAATGTAAAATAGTGATAAAAGGCAAGTAACCCGAAAAAAGTGATTGTGATTTTGTTGCGAATATCAATTTTCGAAGATACTTTTAGAGTCTAGTCAATTGAAAGTGATGAAATCACAGGCTCGGTGATGGGCTAACAGACATATAATACTCTCTTTCAGGGCCATTTAGAAGTTGGTGTGATAAAAAGGGAGATAGTTCTATGGATATACAACTTTATTACAAATACAATGAATGTGACATGTCGGTTGAGATACCTGTATGAAGCAAGTGATGTATAGAAATGTGAAGTTGCTAGGTTATATACATGTGGATAATGGATGTTTATAACAGGTTAATGATGATAGATTGATGTTTACACAACAGATTGAAGTACGAAGCCTAACGATGTACATATAAATGGGATTAACAATGCATGATATGGACCATTTGATTGGAAGCAAGTATTAAGATGTGACAGAATAAAATATAAATGTATACAACAGACATTGGAAATGAGATCTACATTTTATCTTATCCTGACTCATACTTATGTCTTATCTCTACTCATATCCGAAAGGTAGTGGAAACTTCCTGAACTGTGTTCCCAGAGAATACACAAAACATCTCATCCGAACGCACACCAGGACTACGCATGCATACCGTGAGCTTGTGACCAAGCCCATGCAATTACCCGTCACTCTCATTTTCCGCCAATTGAGTGGTTGAGAAAAAAATCCTGAGCTTTGTCATCCGAGCCAACCTATCAAAATTAAAAGTTTTCATTTTCTTGCTCAGATTACATTCTCTTAACCTTCTACTATCATTTCTAAAGAACATTTTTCTTCTGCAGCTGCCTTCATCGTGAATCTGTAATTGCTGGCGAAGAAGAATCCTTCTTCTAGCTACTTCCTCAGTCAAAGCCAACAAAGAGTCAACACATCTATGCTAACGTGAATATCACAAGGCAGACTGCTACAGCTGCAGTCTACAAAGTCTGCATCAGACAACATCAGCAATGCAGAAACAACCCCTCATGTTGGATTCAACCCTCATGCAGGCACAGACGTTCATGTAGCCTCAGACCTTCACGCAGGCCTGCGGGTTCACACAGCCTCTGGGGTTCACAGAAGGCAGTGGCAGCCCACCTGTGCACAGCTACCTTCTTCCAATCAGCCTCTAGGGTTCTGGCAGCCTTTCAGACAAACTGTGTGCTGGACCAAACATCTGCGCAGCAACCAGCCTGCGAGAAGTCCCAGTTCACGCAGAAATTACCGGCACGCAGTCGCAAGGGTTCACACAACCTGCAATGTTCGCACAGCCTCCAGCTTTCACGTAGCTTTTAACCTTTTGCAACATGAACTACCAGCCTCATTTACAAACGCAGATTTGGAATTCATGTTACCCAGCAAGTTTTACTTGCTCTACAGCAGCACGCAGCATGGACATTCCTGCACAGGCCTTCATATAGCCACAGACCTTCACATAGGCAGCTACACCTGACTTCACGCAGCCACAGAACTGCATGCAGCCGCAGACCTGCACACAGCCATCAAGGGTTCATGTACTCCCGTTTGTTAAAAAAGGCCTGTATTCTGACAACCTTCTCTACCCGCTATACAGCAACATGGGCGATGAAGGGAAGTCTTCACACAAGCCTACCCCTTTTAAACGGCAATTTCTGAATTTATTTCTCAGACTTGACCATTCATCCACTGCTCCGAAACCTAAAGCCTTCCTCCTTTGAGAAAGAAGTGGACCTCCACGCAGACACATCCTTCATGCAGACTTGACCTTCAAGCACCAGTCTGCCTTTATGAAAGAGTGCCATCCCTGCATCGTCATCCAGCACTGACCTGGTTGCTATACTTATGCCACATGCACTATTAAACATGCAACAGCATCAACCTGTGGTACATCCTGGCCCTCCATACTTTCGTCTGGATGGATCTCTCATATTATTGAGGTTACCCCAGTCTGATATTCAAGTTACTGATCAGGAAACGCTCTCACTGTGGAATTTTTCCGCAACATTGAACCAACACTGATTAGACAGGGAAAATTTGCTGGAAATTTCACTGAACTCACACCATGAGACTTGGCACAATTGCGACGTTTATGAAGTGATGGTAACCAATCTCAAGATCGATACCCGTGCCTAAACAGAAAAGATCATCAAAACACTAACAACAGCCTTGACATTTTACACAATAGTCATGGTTTACCGGTTACCCAAATTCTGGAAGTACCATTCATAACCTTCATGACTCTCACTTAGGAATCCAAACCCTGCTATGGTGATTGCAGTACATTATCACCTCCGCGCATCTGTACCTAGGGGATCAGTCATTCATGGACAATCAAGACAAGCTGGACATTAACTGGGCTATTCATTGAAACATCACAGTATGATCGGCAAAGCTTTGTCCAATATCGGCAATTTGCAGTTACCTACATGCATCAAATATCATGAAAATCAAATTGCTTCTGCACCGGCCATGTCACAGATTCTACGGGGACTGCATGTATACCGTTATGCTTCAGAACTTGACACATCACTTTGTCTATCTACCATGCAGTTCACACTGGATTGTCAGTGTGTGGAGCATTGGGTCTCGTCCCTGGCAAGAATGCAGTTTCTGTTTTCTGCCTAGGATGATCACGTGTCAAGGATTCACTGACTGTAAACAAACTATGCGACTATGCTGGAAATAGGTCAAACTGACCTAATGTGAGACGTACGGTGTACCTTTATAGATTGCATGATTTCTTGTACGTAAAGCTGAAACTACAAGATCATTGTGAAAGGATCACTTACTTCGGGAGATCGTCGATGACGTCATGTAGAGTAATTCACACCGAGCATCACCATTCATTGTCACTGTGATATAAGAATGGGAAAGCTTACACGGCACCCAGAGGATAGAATCAATCACCTTTCCACCAAAACTACACGCCGACATAGCAATGATCAACCCGGAGGGACAAGTCATACCTCTATTTTGAGTATTGGGAATTGTTTCGATGCAACATACGTTCAAATATTCTCTACGCTCCTTGAAGGCACAATTTTCTGTTAACACTGCTGTACTTCCGCATGATTTTGATCTTCATACTTGGTATGATCATTCAGACTGAAGATTTATATATGAGGCCTCACTCTACAAGATGCAGCCTACTTTCAACGGCTGATATGTTGAGACCTCGACAATGGGTTGTGGAGTGCACTTTATTACATCCACACGGGACCAGGCGGTTGATGAACGCAATCTCAATGCCAATAACTTGGTGGATATATAAGCAACCAGATTTTACAGACTCACCATGGGCCATCAAAGGCATTGGGCCTCACAACTCAAACACAGGTTCTTGATCATAAGAACAGACAACTCAACTATTGCCTTTTACATCAATCTCCAATGAACGACATGATGAGCGACCCTTCTGAGATTAACTTTTCAACTGTTCACACTGACAGACATTCTCATTCATGCACAAAGGCAATACATATTCCTGGAGCATTATATGTCCTAACGGTAGCTCTATCCGCGCCATCCAAACCATCACCAACAGCATGGATGCTCCATCTGGAGACATTCCAGCTGATAACAAGGGAGAAAGGTTGCCTGTCAATAGAGCTATGCACAACAAGGTCCAACAACAGTTAACAACATTCGTCTCACCACGTCTGAACCCACTGGCTTGGACTGTCGACTTTTACCTCTGATTATTCAGAAAATCAGATGGAACCAACAACCAATTACTGCTTTTGGTCGTGCCTCACTGGCTAGCAAGGACTTGGTTCCCAGGACTTGTTGCACCAACAGGGAAACCAATATTTAGACTCCCAAACAGGCCAAACCTTCTTCTTCATCCTCACACCACTGACGTTCATCAAAAACCAGATGCTCACAAACTTCACTTATGGAACATATCACTTTAAACCTTGCTAGGAGGGCATGTTCAGACAGAGCAGCCAAGGCAGCCTCCCTATGCCTTTGCAGACCTAAGAGGAATTTGTACAATGATAAATGGAAGGGTTTTGACCAATTTGCAACCTATAAAGTATTAACATCAGCCAAAGCTACCCTAGCACTAGAAGCAGAATTCCTTTGCCACTTACGTAGAACAAGTTTTGTGCTAACAATGCGTAATGGAATGAGACTCCCCAAACTTCCAGAATTATTCGCCTTGCTACGATTGTACGGACTTGAAAATCAACAGAAGAAATTCAGAGCCCCCAGCCTGGGATCTGCATGTGGTACTTAATCACCTTACCAGTGAAGCTTATGAACCCTTACAACAAGCTGACTTTGAACATTTAACTCTGTCTTAGATTCATGCAATCGATTGCTGTGACGAGAATGCATTGGCTCATCTCATCCTGAGAAGGGATTTTATCACCAAGAATCAATTACCTGGCCAGACAGACAGTTTCATATTCTGCCATTTTCATGAATCCTACGATCAAAGGACACTGAGGATTTGTCCTTATGTCTAGGTCGAGCCTTATGCATCTACCTACACAGATCAAGCTCTAGACGACAGAAATTACGAAGGTTGTTCATTCCGTTCTCTAGGAATAATACCACAGAAGTATCAAGAACAACCATTTCCTTCTGGATGACAGCAGTCATCCTCAGTCTTCAGAGCGGCAGGGCTAGCACCCCCATCTGCCTCCAACCCACGTGAAGTGAGAGCCATCTTCGTTACATGGAAACTGCTCCATCCCGACCATTAGGGAAAGCTGTTTCTGGAGATCGGATTCGGTTTTCGCTAACCATTACCTTTGAGATTTTTCTACACAAGATGTGGCTGGAATTAACCAGTTAGGACCAGAAGCGGTAGCACAACAATTAACTACCTGGTATGCCTAACAGAAGATAGGCCGTACAGAAAACTCACCCAGTATTCACATAGACGTATTGATGTCTGGTTACTGTTCCATAACCAATGACTGAAAGTCCATGTTCACCTGTTTTACTATGTAATTCAGAGCATGAGTGCTAACAATCCAATGAGTAAGCACAATCCACGAAACCTAACAGATTTACTCTTTACTCTGGTACCCCTATTTGATATACATAAGACATTTAGAAGAATATCCCATTCCCAGGGGTTAATGAACAGATCTCGATCTGAACAACAAACAGGTGGAACCCACCACCAATCATGGGATTCAAGCAATAGGAATGAGTCGGATAAGATAGAATATGTATTATTTAGGTTAAAAATATCATTTATGCTTATTCTGACTCATGCCCTAAAGTGCCCACCTAGCCGTCCCCTCTTTCTCTGTTTCGGATGAACTAAGTACGGGACATTTGAGAGTGACGAGTAATAGGGCTTGGTCATGTGCTTCGGATGCACAAGCTCAGTCCAGGGGTGCGTAGGGGTGAGATCTTTTCTCCGGGAACACAGTTCAGTAAGTTTCCGCTACCTTTCAGGAAATGAGTAGAGATAAGCAGTAAGTATGAGTCAGGATAAGTATAAGAAATATTTTTACCCTAAAAGATACATGATTGTTTAGTGATGAGTTCATGGTAGGCTGTTGGGATGTAATACCCTTGATTCCTGGTTGGAGTCATTTGATGTGGACGGCTTCTTGGAGTTTCCTGATCTTGAAGCTGGTATGATTTTTTGTATGTTGATGTTGTTCCAGTGTTCCACAACATCAATTGGAACAACATCAAAGTACTCACAAAAAATCATACCAATTACAAGATCACCATTTCCTATTTGTGTGTATTTTCAAAATTAGTTTATTTAATGGAAAAAACAGAAAAATTGAATTTTGTATGCATTTGTTTACAGAATCTCCTATGTGTGCAAGAATAATTCATCAACAACAACCCCTTGCTCATAATCATGTAGCAAGCCGCTTCCATCGGGCCGTCTTCTGTCTCAGGCTCACCTCTCATGACCTGCCCGTCACTCAGCCCACTTACATTAAAGGTAGGCCTGTCATGATGGCTTCAACATATTTTTATTTCGACTGGAGATTGGGATTGGTAAACAATCTAATCAGACTGTAACCGGTATTCCGAATAATCACCACAGGCCTTTGTTGCAATTATGATCAAATTTGAAGCAATTTATTATTACACTAAAGGTTATGATATTAATACAGTAGTGTACGGATGTGAAGGCCTATCATCTGAAATAAAATCAAGAAATTCTCTTGTCATCTTTTATCACAAATTTAGGTAGATTTAAATTATGGACAGAATTTCTTGAATTAATTAAGATAACTGATTACTGTCATGATTACTCGGATAACTGGTTATAGTCTGATTAGAATTTCTGACTGGTTAAAAAAAGTGCAAACCGGTATTTCTTATCCTCATGTAATATGATAAATTATCAGTTGATTTTACGTTTATGAGTGAGTGAGTGAGTGAGTATGGTTTTATGCCGCTTTTAGCAATATTCCAGCAATATCACGGCGGGGGACACCAGAAATGGGCTTCACACATTGTACCCATGTCGGGAATCGAACCCGGGTCTTCGGTGTGACGAGCGAACGCTTTAACCACTAGGCTACCCGACCGCCCCTTTACGTTTATGAAACTTTCAAGATTAATATAGTCACAGACTTGTTTGTATTCGCTATAATAGAGTTTTAAAAAGACACTGAATTTGCAACAGTCCATGAATGATATAAATCACTTAATCTGCTGGTGCTATATTACAGACAATCTCGTAGCTGTCACACATAATATATATGAAACTGTATATAAAACAACAAAGTTGTTTCATCATCGACTATGTTGGTAATTCAAACCAATTTCGAAGAGAAAACAAAAATAACCAACTATGTATACTTGACCAGTGTTCATCCTAAATAAAAATCTTAATTCGCATACCAGGGTTTGCAGTCGAACAATCAGTTTGGTTACATCATGAAACTGTGGCAGCAGCTACTGTAAATCTGGAAAGTTTTGCACCATGAAATTACTTTGAGTGGATAACAATAACTTTAACTGCAATTAGCAAAATCAGTGTTCCCGTTTACCGGTAAAATTAGGCATGGACCGGTAATTGATGTGACTGCCAGTCCCTGTGGACCAGCAGAAAAGTACCTTATAAATCTTTGTTGTTGAACAAAACATCAGCGATATTCATATAAGTATATTTTTTTAACGAACTTAGCTTGTCTGTTATCATCAGGCTCTCCCCTTGTCTATTTTTAGTGCAAGGATCTAACATTTCGCTTTGCCTTGAGGATAAATATATTAGTAGCGATGTAAGTGTCGAAATATTCAAAACAAAAGAGAAAATTGTGACTAGACTTTGTGTGAATTTCGTGTAGATCTAACTAGGTTACTTCAGAGATGACTTAAATGAGATCTTGAAATTAAAATCACGTAATTTTCATACTTTTTTTTATTTGTTTAAAGTTGGGACTGACAAAAATTAGGAGGGACTGGTAATTTTTGCCAGTTGCCAGTCCACCAGCGGGAACACTGAAGCTACTTTTGCAGGTGTTATTTTTTATAAGAAGGAAGCACCGTGATGAAATTTTCAAATGAATTGAAGAAATATGCCTTCTTGCATCTTTTGTTTGTTGTTTGGTCTGCAAAAATTAAAGGTGCCTAAACTATTATTATGATGGTAGTGGTTGTTGACCTGCCTGGCACTTAGCATTAAGGGGCTAAAACAAGTACTTGTCGGTTGGAGTCGGAATAATGTGTCTGTGTGGGGAATCCATGTTGAACTGGGGCATGGTATCTCAGTGGCCTGGCACTATCAAACTGACAGAAGTCTGTAGTAGAAGCAGCCTCAAGTGGTGGTCTGTGTTTGCAGGGTGATGAGTGATGGGAGTAGACAGAATGAAGAAGAGGCATGGCGAGGAGAGGACAGTCTTCCATTTCCTACAGAAGAATCTGGTATGTCTTCCTCTTGACAAGATATCTGAAAGGACAGTTTGCAAAGTGTTTTCCTGTTTGTACTTGTACTTGACCAGCATGATTCTGGCAAAGAATGTTACTTCAGAAATGACATCACTGAATTTGTCAGCCATGGAAGTACACTGCACTGAAATCGATGTTGAAAAAATTACAAATTAAAATTTTCATATGATTTTCATTTGTTGAAAGTTTGGACTGAGGAAAATTGCGTGGGACTGGTACTTTTTAGAGTTGCCAGTCCACTGGGAATGACAGTTTCAAAAGCCAGCGGGAACACTGGACCTGCTGCTTCAACGCTACTTCCACACAAAGCTGACACTCCACGGGTACTTGCACTGACTGCATCGTCCAACTGACAGCATGTTCAGTTCTTGTTGTGTTTAATCAATATCTAATTTGCTGATGAAGCATAAAATCTATTTATGACATTTATGAAGTCTATGATTCTGTATTATTTGCAGGAGATGTCCCACCAACTGATGATCATTTGGGATATCTGACAGAGCAAGAAACCTATTTCAGTCTTCTCCGAGGACCGCACCCGTCCTCACGTCTTCCCAGCTCACCTGCTGGGGTTTTCTACTCCGTTCACCTGCCACCCTCAGGGAGAGCAAATAGTGGCTATCATTCAATAAGGCCGCCAAGTACTGAAGTACACTTCCAGAATTATATGCAACGCCATAGCAGTAATTCCATCAATGATGCTGATGACAATGATGACTTCGGACACAGCGATCTCTCAGAGTCACTGCAGGGCAGCTATAATACTGGCATGGCTAATCTTCGGGAAGTGAGTCTTGGAGATAGAGGCCTCATGGGTGTCCCTGCTGAATCATCTCTGGATGACAGTGTTCCCCGTGTTCCCTGTATTCCCCTTCTGGAGGTGAATGATGAGCTGTATGCCACAGGGCCCACACCACTACTGAGGGATGACAACAGTCATCTGGAACAGACCTGTAGAAAGTCTGTATATGACCTAGTGTCTGAGGAACGGGAGGCAGAGAATGAGGAGGAGCACATCGAGCAGACGGACATCGAACAGACAGACATCGAGCAGACGGACATCGAGAAGACGGACATCGAGAAGACGGACATCGAGCAGACGACTGTGGTCAGTGTAAATACACCTACACTTGAGCTGACTTCCATTGCTCAAACAAGTGGAGAACAGAATGCAACTGTTAATGTACCTGTGACTGTGAGTATGATTCTTTGTCAAGTTTGGATCTATGATTTAAAAAGTTCAAAATATTGAAATTGACCGATTTGTTTTCATTTCCATTCCCATTCCCAAAAAGCACTTAATTTAAACTATAACCTTTCAAATAAAAAATCAAATTGTTTCTTAAAATATTGTAGTTAGGTCATGTGAAAAAATAATACAGTATATCTTAAAAGGGATAGCCACCAGAGCATGATGCGTTTTGAGATGTGTCTTTCAAGCTGATGGAAGTTTAAATCGCTACAATCAAGTCTGAGGCTGAACACTGTGTCTATAGCTGAATGGTTTGTCTGTGCCCTCAGCTTCACCATGCCGCTGTTGTTACAAGCATGGGGATCATGTCAAGGATACATAAGCAATGGTCCCGAAGCGATATTTCAAATAAGAATTTAACTAGTTCCATGTGTTGAACACTCATCAGTCAAGATCCACAATTTCCATAATGGCATTCGCGGAAAATAACCAATACAGTTTATGAAATAATATATAGAATACGACACAATAAATTCACAGTTAGTTTTCTAAAGAAGCACATTTACATTGACATGGCAATGTAATTTGACAGTGTCACGATATTGCTGGATGGTTGTCAGGCCACTCAGGAGTCTGCGCTGTGCGGTCTGCGCGGCATTATCAAGCGCTCTATCTTTTTCGTCATCTCCTTTTGTAGCATGAAGTTCTGAAATAGATGACAGAGAATCATTAGTATATTGTATAGATAAGTGAAATCAAAATATCTTGCACACCTTCTATTTTCTTCTTTGGCTTGATGAAGAAACTATGATATGACAATGATGAAGAAAACAAAAATATCTCTGACACATTTTCTTCTTTAAATCTCTGAATTAAACAAGGTGAAATTACTTACCTCCAACATCTCTGAAAATCTGTGACACCAGTGTGGCATTGTCTCTCACCATCTGTTTCATTTTGGACAAGAAATTGTTTCCAAAGATCTTGGCGTCATCATTAGGATGTGTGGGGACAGAACCTAGTGACTGGTTTAATGCAGTTGTACTTAATTCTCCAGTGAACTTAGTTCACCATCGTTGACTTAGCTCACTTGCCTGGGAGACGGTCCCTATAATCCTCTATTGTTTTACCTATCAACATCTTCATTGGTTTGCGTACCTTAAACAATGGAAGGTGTCATAATGAATCCACAGAGCACAAATGTGACCACATTGTAGAATGAATGGGAGTGTATCACTTTGACACAGTCTGATTGGTTGAAAAAACATTGTTAAACATGTTTCAGATGTTTTACTTGTTATGAATACTTTTATACATTCATGTCTCTTTTGTCAATCTCAAGTTTGAGAAATTACTGTATGTGAAATGGCTTCCAAATTAATACAGTATGTAGTCATTCTTAATCAGAACAGATTTTTTATAGTTGCAATTGTCCACATTCTGCTTAATCTCTTAGGATGACACTTATTATTATATTATTGTGTTTCAGGAAACAGTTCCGAGACAAGCTGCTTCAACATCAGGCTATCATACAGGCACAGGTAACTTGAGACGATACTTAAAACTGTTTACAGATCAGCAGACCCTATGTATTGAAATTTGTGATTTGTCTGTTGTGTTTGTCATTTCTAAGGTTTATGAAATTCTTTCAGTTTTCCATTTCACCGAGGGGGGGCACGGGTGGAACAGTCATCTAAGGCGCCACGAATCGCTGTGCAGAGTTGCGTCCCTTGGGCACGACAGAAACCTATGATTTTGGGTTCAAATCCCGGTTCACCCTGATTGTTTCTAGGTTTGTCAGCACCATACCCGTGATCGTGGCTTTCACCGAAGGCTTTCCTCCCACATGAAGCTGACACGCCGTGATATAACTGGAATACTGTTAAAAGTAGTGTTCAACCCAATTCACTCACTCACTCTTTTCACTGTCCCAAATATATTGCAACTGGTATGAATGTCAATATTCTTTGTAATGTTCTCAGTGTTTATTCTGAACTAGTTCAGTGCCCACTAACCTGGCATATCAATTGGGTTCTATCTCCTTCAAGAATACAGATGGTCAAAACATGTTTACAGGGTTTGACTAGACCTGCTTATAGGCCAATATTTGCCAAGAGTCTGCAGACACTGTTATTACAAATTTAAATTTCCCAAATCATGTTGTAATGGCTATAGCGGTGGCTCTGAACATGTTGAATGCAATGTTAAAGTATCTCCTAATTTATGAAAATTTATGACTTTATAAAAAAATATAGCAATCACTATCTTTTCCTTAGCTTGCCTGCCAAGGGCACTTGTTGGTTTGGAATGCAAATAAACCCTGGTTGGTGCATTCCTGGCAGAGTTACTTCCCTTACCTCCAATTTACTCCCTTCTCGCCCTGTAATAGTCTGCAGAATTCATATTTGATAGGGCTGTATCTGTGTTAATCATGAGGATTAACTTGTAGATTTTATTCTCATAACTCTTAACATGTTTTGTTCTTGCTACAATTAAACCATTATGTATACACCAAACTCATGGAAGTGTCATCTATTTTAAAAGTAAATGTTTTTAAGTACATTATCTTGAAATTACTTTAAATATATCCTATTATTTCTTGTCCTTCTAAGACTGCAGCAATTTCCAACTTGTTCCCGAATCCTATACCACAGCACCGAAAACACTGCCACTGGTAGGCACCACCGCACATGCTCCCCTCCTGCCATGCAACTGCCACCTGCTACTTGTCGCTCTGACTGGGCAGTCAGGGTTTTCGTTTGCTCTTCAGAATCCTTTTTGTGTGACATATTTTCATTTCAGCTTTACTATTTTGCTGTAATATTCTTTTCGAGGTGTACATACACTTACATTTGGTAGTTAGTTGTGTTTGAGGTGTGTATTTTGTGTGCTTTTCTCTTTTTAGTCAGCAGCTTGTTCAGGTATTTGTGTCTTAGTACAACTTTCACCGGCCTTTGAAATGGGCTTTTGTTATTGCATTGTTGTTTTTGGATTTGTTTCTCTTGGTGAGTTTACTCATCTGGCTTTTAATATTTATGCAAGTCTGGACTCTTTGGTGCAATGTTTTTGTCTGTGTGCCCACCCGTGATACGTAATGGCAGACACTGTAGTGATCCTTCAGGAATCTGGCTCTGAGGTTGATACTGACATACTTGGAGTCTTTCTCTGGTGTGTCCGTTCGGAGGCTACCAATGTTTTGATGTCCACATCTACTGTTTTGGCTACTTCAAGAGAGAATGTCCCTACTTCTATGGCAGGGGTGCCGGGGCAGTTCAGCTTTTTGGCACAGCTTTGGTGGAAATAAATTTGGCACAGCAATCAAAGACAGCATCAGCAAGTGGTTTCATCTCTGTATGCAGATTTACCAGCCCTTGGCGAGTACGCTAACATGCAGACACCTGATACCTGCTGAGCGGATGCAGACAAGGGAGTCTGGGATGTTGTCCATTGATAACAGGTTGCAGTCCAATGAGCAGCCAGGACCTTGTACAACGTCGCCTCGTCATCATTTGCAGCATTTGGAGCGGTTCCACGCTGATGTGTCTCCTGAATACCACTTGTTGTCTGAGGGTCGCTTGTTTGGTCAGGGTTCATTTAACAGATCACCACCATCATTGCAGATCATCTGATCAGGCTCCACATAGTCGATTGTCTACTGTAATAGCTACCTGTTAAATGGCCAACTGTTTGACAGTAACAGGTGTTGTTCTGGTAGGTTGCTGAACATTGGCCATCGAGAGCTACCAGACTGTGACAGATTGGTGGGTGACTGGAGGTCTTCCACGTACGACGATTACAGAAAGGGTGATCAGGGTGGTTGCTGCTTTAGTGAGTTTGTAGAGAGGGTCGTAGGTCGCCAGAGAGAGGTCAGTCCCTGTCGGATGGTGATCATGAATAGGGACTGCCGGAGGTTGGGGACCATATGGCAGATGTTCTCCTTGAGTGATCAGATCCAATGAGGCAAAAGAGGTGCACCTTTGATATTATAGAAGAGGATACAGGTTTAGTCAGTGTGTATTTGCTGCCTGCCCAGTTACTGCAGTAAGTTCCACAACTTTTAGATTGGCTATTGCTTCATTGTCTGTCACAGGATCGTTGGCAACTTCTGCTACTACTGCTGTTATGGCTTTTCTAGGACCTCCACATACTGAGAGGGAAGCTCATGTCCTCTCCATTGCGCACACATTTAGGAACTACTTTACGTCATTATGCAGTATTGATATGCATGCTATGGGGCCATTAGATGGCAGGGGGTCCTCTCATTCGTGACCAACTCGTGTTATTCCGGGACAAGCCGAATAGCGACTCGTGCCCCTCTCATGGCCTTTTTTGCGACTGGGTTCCGTCCTAGCGCAAACGGGCATACCTAAAACAATTGTCAACTCGTTGCGTAATGGTTCACATATCTTTCCCCATATATTATATATATTTCAGATGCAATTTAAAGCACATCGGGACATGCGAAGTTATACAGTATGCTTGAACACATTTAACTGTGTCTTGAGTATATTTTTAGATGCAAGACATATGTAAAATCAAAAATTATTTCTGAAGGATTCTTTGACGATGAACTTTAAATCATACGCGCATTCTGATTGGTTTGTCGTATTTTCGCACATAACATTCATCGATAGGGGGACAAGTCTTCTTGCAGGTCACGGAAAGGGGCGAGTGTTGGCGAATGGGGTCATTTGCGAGTCATCTTGGGACCGGCTTGTCAAGGCATAGTTGCTGCAACAGCCATGGTCTTCTTTTACACTTATCAACGGTTGGATCTACCCCTTTACTGAGATTTACTGGCAGGAGCGCAAACAGAGGCCACGGTGACAGCGTTGCAGGCAGTCCAAAGGGTAGATCTTGCTTAGGCTCGCTACAGGACCTTCATAATGAAGAACGTGTGTATGAGGCAGACGTTAAGGAAAAAGTCCTGTTTGCGCAAAGGTTCCTTTCAGCCTTCCTAATATTGCTGAGTGCTGCGTTAAACAACAAACAAACAAACAAACAAACAATCCTATCAGGTCAGGGATTCTGCTTACAAAGGAAGTTCAGAAAGGGAAACCTAAGGTCTTTTTTTCAGCTCTCCAAAAGTGACTGCCTCCTCGATGTCAGAACTTGGGACTTTCCTCCCCCTGTTACCCGTGGGACATCCAGACTGGTAGGGGCAGACTTCAACTGTATTAAAGAAATTGGCAGCAGTTAATATCAGACCCGTGGGTGATTGAAACCCTACAAGTTCAAACTTAAACTAGTTGCAGCTCCCCTGTTAAGTACAGAGAGATGATATTTTTTCTGAAGACCATGCCATCCTCATCTGGGAAAATGTCCCTCTTTTACTAGAAATGAACGCAGTGGAAGAAACTTCAGCCAGTCATCTGACTCTGGGTTTAAATTCCATAACTTTTGGTGCCATAAGAAAATTCAACTCTCATAACTCTCAGTATCTGGAGTCTCTGGGAATAGCTGATAGTTGTTTACTCCCTTCACCAACCCCATTCCGGTGTTTCTACATCAAAGAGGGGTGAGGTTCCACTTGTTCATCGACGATATCCCCCTCGCCATTGTACTTCAATGGCTACTTCTCCAACCTATATTGTTCTCTCAGCATCTCCTGGAGCAGCTGGGCTGGCTGATAAACATCAAAAGTCAGACCTGATCCTGCCTCATAATCTTTCATTCATTAGCAGTCTATTCAACACTCTCAACAATCGCTTAGGGAAGCCATCGTTGGTTGAAGATTTACCAGAGGTGTCATGTCGTCACCACGCATTGGCTGCCATGGCTACCTTGTCCGCGAAATTCATGCCTTAGATGTGACTCAAATCAAGTTGGAGGAACATCAACATGGCAAGGGGCATGAGGAATTAACTTTGTTGCTAATAATCAGCAACTTGGTCAGGACAGCCGTTTTACCATTGCACCATTATCTTCTATTCTCAGGGAAGAGTGAGTGAGTGAGTATGGTTTTACGACGTTTTTAGCAATATTCCAGCAATATCACGGCGGGGGACACCAGAAATGGGCTTCACACATTGTACCCATGTCGGGAATCGAACCCGGGTCTTCGGCATGACGAGCGAACGCTTTAACCACCAGGCTACCCGACCGTCCCTCTCAGGGAAGAAGATATCAAAGATTTATCACTATGCCCTGTTTGAGCACTGCAGCATTATATCAAGGTCACACAACGGTTTAGGCCACAGATGAAAAGGTTTCTCCCCACGTCACAATCGTCTAATGTTGAGGTCTCCAGGAATGCAGTATCTTATTGGTGAAGAGTTTCTGGAGGCATAGGAACATATTGGTCTACTGCCAACTGAAGCTCACAACACCCATGAAATAAGGGCATCGGCATTCGATGTTGATTCTACACACCAACTGCGTCAAGGGTTTCTTCTGGGCTACTGACACTACCGGCGCCAACCATGATCTCAGGGACATCTCTGTGGAGGACGTCAATGTTCTACACCAGTTTGGACCTCTAGTGTTGGCACAGCAACTCACCAATCCCTTGAGGTGATGATAGGCACAATGTTACTATCTCTGACTGCACTGAGGTTATACCTTTCATTGCTTGCTGGACAGCTTCAGTGGTCTAGTGGTAGAGCGTCTGCCCAGAGAGTGGAAGGTCAGGGGTTTGATCTCAGCTCTGTCATATCAAGAGATGTACTTATGTTATCCTGCCTGACGCTCAGCACTAAGGGGCCTAAACAAGGACTGGTTGGCTCCGAGTCAATATACCCATACTGTGTCTGAGTGCGATATTCATGTTAAACTGCAGCCTGGTATCTCAGTGGGCTAGCACTATAAACTCAGCATTCGTCCTGACTAGTACAAGCAGCCACACATTATAAGTGCAATAATCTTGAATGTAATGTAAATCGCTATTTCACCTCACGCCACCTCATTGCTTGTGAGGGCGAGTTGACGCGGTTATTTCCTTGGTTAGTGCTGTGGTATGTACTTGGCAAAAGGACTGAAGTATCATTGCTGTATCTACCGCTTGTTACGTCTTTGCTCCCTGTTCACAGGGGGTTTAGATGGAGGCTTCTGCAGAGCGCCCTACAGTTGGACCAAGGAGTATGCAGGTCATCTTGTCTATATTATTCGTCAGTCACCTCTTGGGTTTCTGTATGCCGTTTCGCCAGGTGTCACCTCCTACTGTGTGATATTTCCAGCGGTCTTAGCAGGAGAAGAAATAATTAAAAGTAATCTAATATTAATGATATTAGATTCTTGGGTTACTAAGTCTAGTCACAAGGACCCGGGCAGTCGGGTAGCCTAGTGGTTCAATTCCCAACATGGGTACAATGTGTGAAGCCCATTTCTGGTGTCCCCCGCGGTGATAGTGCTGGAATATTGCTAAAAGCGGCGTAAAACCATACTCATTCACTCACTCACAAGAACCCGCTCATCCATCACCGCTTCTGACAGCCTGCTTTGCGAACTACTCGAAGTAGGAAGAGGCAGTTGTATGGTGTGGAGCTTGTGCGGTTTTGACAGTGGGGGAGTGTTTTGGTGCTGTGGTTTAGGATTTGGAAACAAGTTGAACAAGTAGGAAATTGCAGCGGTCTTAGATAACCATAATTTTGTCTTTTAGAAAATAACAGAAATTTAACTGTATGAGTATGAGCTACATAGAAGTTATCGCTTGAGCGTGTTTGGGATGGGAAGCATCATGTATTAGGAACAACCTCAATATCATATATCACATGATGTCAGTTTTAAATTCTATCATCGACAAAAGCAGCTCTGTCCCACATGGTTTTGGGGTTAGGCAGAGACAAAGACAATTTTCTGTAGCCAGTTGGGCTATTAATATCAATGTGTGACTGGACTGATGTCTGCCCTGAAAAGATATGATGGATAGCACACATTATAATCATGGTGTCTACCCTGGCATAGGTGTCCCTGTAGTTTACAGAGCTGTCCAGAGTTGTGTCCCTTGACCATACCAGGATAAGTTGATCCAGGTATCTGATCCCATATTCTCAACAGTTAAGGTCATTGGTGTATCATCACTGTTGGGGAACGGTTTTGCCATTTTTGACTGCATTTCACTGTGTTGAGTTGAGTCCCTTAGTTGTACCAGGATCTTATGAGAGAGGGCTTTATTCCCAAGATTATGTTCCTTGGTGTGTTTCTCCATTCCCCTGCTCCTGGGTTTCACCAAAGTGGTAAATTTACATGTATCATTTGGGTCTTTCTCCAGCAGAACAGAAATATTGTTCTGAAGAGTTAAGTCTTGATCACTCTCTATCTTGTGAGTACAATAAACTAAGTATAACAAACAAGCTTATAACAAACTGACAGATATATCAAACATATTTTTTGGTCTTGGTCATTTGCTTTGCTGTATGTATGCTTATAACGAACTACGGTTATTACAAAATAAAATTTGTGGTCCCTTTAGTTTGTAATAACTGTAGTTTACTGTATATTAGAAAAGTATAGTTTTCAGATTTTCGTCTATATTTGTCCATAGATGCAGAGCCAGGGCAGCGTGCAGACAAGTTGCAGACACTGGTGAAGTGTGAAAAACATGAACCGTCCCAGCACTCTGTGGAGCCGCCTGAGCAGGGTCAAATCCAGCACCTGCGGGGTAGCACCACGCCGACTCCAGGCTCGGGACTTGCATCCCACGTGTCTCGCCACACACACAGAAGTCAAGAGGCTCTGCATGGAGAGGAGATGGGGGAGGGCAATGATGGTGACAATGATTTGGGGTTATAGATAAATTAAATCCGACCCTTGTGCTTATATATCAAATAATCCACACTTGTATCAGAACTCTGTTGTTGGAAGGTTTGAGACAAGTCAATCATATTTGTAGGTGATTGTTGCTCTTTTGAGTGAGAGTTTGATTCCTCGATCTCTTTGTGATAGAGTGTATCTGTAACAGTGTTCAACACAACTTTTACCAGAAGTGTCATTTTAAATTTGAGTTGCTATGTGATTTTAAATCACGTTTTGATATTGGATTTTTATCTTGTTATTGACTGTAAGACAGAATTGTTAAAATATTTTTGGGAGCATAATATTCTTTCACATGTTCAACAGATGCAATCAGTTGTAATCATGTTTTAGAATTATATTACTGTTTGATGTATGTTGTTGTTTGGACAGTAATCAACATATCAATGTTAAACCTTTTTCACAGTCTTTTACTGTTATTTAAATCTACTTATAACTTAAGGCTAAATTAATTTATCAAACAAATAATTAATTTGCCTGATTGATGTTTACTTAATATGAGGACAAGTTGCCCTTTTTGAAACCCGCCAAATAGTTTGTACCATTAAAGAATTCAAGTAGTATATTTTAATAACATGCCTTCTGTTATGATGATATTTTTAAAAAGGAAGAATACGGCATCATATTTTAGTATTGACCTAATCAGCCAGTATTTTTTGAGAACATGCTCAAGCAAAGAATATTTTGTTCGATATTTAATGCTTTTTTTAGAAATGACTTGCTCAATAAGTACGCATGTTCCTGTTGTTGTTGGGTTCAACTAAGGGAGGTAACTGTAGAAAATGTTGTGCAGCAGGTGAAACTTGTTGATGTGGTGATAGAGCTTGTATATGTTACTGAAAGACTATGATATAAGTCATTTCATGTCTGATTAGTAGGGTTAGTCATTTCATCAAATGATGAATTTTTCTCATTACCAGACATTTCATGAAATATCATTTGAAAAACCACAGTCTGAATATCATATATATAACAATGGCTCATGGAGTGGAGTGGATCTTCATCATATATGCAATATTTTTAAATGAATGTGAGTGAGTGCTGCAATCTGATTGGTTGAAAACATTGTTATGTTTGTACTGGACTCTGGAAATCTTTTGGTGTTATCACTGTGTACAAATATTTTGTTTTTCTCGATCAAAATTTACAAAAAACAACAGACTATGCCTTTCTTCTTTGCCTTAATAGATTCCTGGGGGCATGGGTGGCCCAGTCGTCTAAGGCGCCACGATTCGTTGTGGAGAGTTGCGTCCCTTGGGCGCACCAGAAACCTATGATTGTTCACCCTGATTATGTTTCTAGGTTTGTCAGCACCATACCCGTGCTCGTGGGTTTCACCGATGTGGTAAACATCCTAGACCTGCATCACTTCTTGCTTTCCTCCCACATTAAGCTGAGATGCTGTGAAATAACAGGAATACTGTTAAAAGCGGCGTTAAACCTAACTCACTCACACATTAATAGATTCCTGGGTAATCAAATATTAACTTTTAGTGTTGTTTGAGCCTTCATGTCAGTCTGAATCAGCAGGTTCAATAAAGCTGACGTAGAAAAGTAGTTGACATACTTTCTTTCAGCGTAATGATGGTACACAATAGTCGATGACTGTACACACACTAGCTCCTGATGTCACACTCATATGTTAGTAGTGTGACCACTTGTCAAATCTCCCTTTATATAAAAAGATTAAAGTCTGTATGGAATGTTGGGTGTATGGATAGATGACTAGAGCCACAAGTTAAGTCAAAGTTTTTGCACAAGTGTTTCTTGTAGATCACTCATCTTCGCTGTAACATGTTTAGAGAGTCCTGCGTTAGAAATTGGCACTAGTCCTGTAGCCCTTGCCAAACTGCCCAATAGTAAAGGTATCATAAGGGCTAGTAGAAATTTGCCATTTTTAGAAGTTTTGCTATATGTTATCATTATAAGGACTAGTGGACTGAAACTGTTAGTTTCTACCCCTGGAGTAGTCACCATGGCACTCATGTCACAGGGGTGAGGATAGCACAACTTCATGTCTCTGGGGAATGTCCAATACAACAATGACAATTTTAAAAATGAGCCATTGTTAACGTTAACTGATAATGGATAACAAATTCAAAACTGAAAGTCGGTTTGCAAACCACTTACTATCGTAACTTTTAACTGGTTACATGGTTGAACACTTTAACTTGATACAGCCTATTCTGAGTAGTCCTTTTTCTATTCTGGCTTGTGTATCTCTCTGCCTGATCGTGCTGTAACACATTGCTGGGTTCGTCGGCTTGGGACACATGTACTGGCTGTGACTTCAAAGGTGTGTGTCCAAGACTGTGATGCCGCGCCTCTGGATGGTGAGTTTTCTGAGATGTCTGCGATTTTGTCTCAGGATCTGATTGTCCTCTGTATCAATATCCAAGGAACAGGGTCTGTCTTTTGTGGGTCCCAAAACCTGCTTTCCGCCAGTTTGGCACCAATAGTTTTGGTGAGATTCTCACACTGTCACCTCTCTGAAGAGAAGGAAACTGTTTTGTTCCCTTGTTGTAGTACTGAGCTGCTTTGTCACGTTGTGCCTGAGGTTTCTCAACTTTTCACAGGTTCCTGAAACAGACTCTAGATGCAGCAGATTATTAGAGTTGGGTAGCAATGTTCTTATTTGTCTGTTCATGGACCTTAGAGCAGGACTTGAGATGAGACCCTGTGTCTGTGTGTTACGAAACTTCAGTATGGCCTAGTAAGGATCACTCTTGGCCTGTATGGCTTTCTTCAGCAATTGTTTTGCCTGTCCCGCCTTTCTGTTGCTCTGAGGATAGGCAGGAGACGATGTTACATGCATAAAGCCCCTGTTAGGAGCAAATTTATTGAAATCCTCTGCTGAGAACGGAGGACCGTTGTCAAACACGCAAATGTCCTGTATGCCATGTCGTGCGTACTGTCCCTTTCACGTATTCACTCTTGAGGCCGACTTGGAATCTGCAAGGTAGTCGATTTCCCAATAGTATGAGAAATTTTCAACAGTGATCATGTAGTTGTTGCCATCTAGGACGAATGGTATGTTCCACCTTAGGACCATAGGTCTTCTTCTAAGTGAGACAAAATGGGTCCTTTTCCTTGTTCCCTGTCACTTCCATGGCAGATGTCACACTTTGCGAATTAATCTGGTTCATTCCGGGCCCGAAAACACATTCTCTAGCACGTCAGACACATCCTTATGCTCAAATGTGTGAAGAGTGAAGTTGCACTAGCAAGTATTTTCTTGAACTTGGGGAATCAACACTTTCTGACCTTGGAAGATAACGCCATCTTGTATTGTCAAAACTCATTCAATTGGGAAGAAGTCGATCATGTTGAGGGATTCCTGGTCCATTCCTGTGATTTTGAATGTAGATCTATGCTGTACTTGCATTGATTAGTTTCTTGTATTTCAAATTCATGAGTGAGAGAAAGAGATGGTGACATCAAGTACTTGATCACTGCGTGTTCCTCAAGTTTGTCCTTTTTCCAAAGGTCACAGAGCCCAGTTTCTTGTCACAGCGAAACAGTTTTCTCATTTGACTTACGTACATCATGTAATGTCCGCAACAACAAAATTCAATAATGTGTGATTCCTTCTATGTAATTTTCTTTTGGTCTAATAAGCTTTTGCCCATGCATTAACACCGAGAATGACCAGACATGATGGTAGACACGAAAGTTTTTATGTTTTTAGCACAGATTGCAGTTGTGTTGAAAAGTTGCATTTATTAGATTAACAATGTTTTTGCAACTATTGGCTATAGGTAAACTTAACTGTCTTAGTATTGGAGGCTAGACAAGCAATTTCTGGACAAGAAAAATGAGGAATCTTCCTCTTTCTTTTTACATGAATTGGTGAATTGCCCATAGTTTCTGACCATTACAGTATTTAAATGCCTGTATCAGTCTTAATGTCAAAACACTGCATGTATGTCAATATATTTCCACTGTCCTGGTGTTGATGAAGCAAAAGACTCCCATGACCTGACAAATATTTTTTGTAGAATTATGACCATACTAGAGAAACAAGACTGCTGAAACTGTGTGGAAAGGGAAAGAGAATATTAACTGAAGACCAATTTGAGTGGTGTTCAAGACACTGCCAACAAATAGTCATGTCTTTGTGACATGGAATATTCTCCTTGTAAGTTCTTGAAGATCGAAAGTGGCTGCTATTGGTTCAGAACCAGCAGCATTTTGAATGTGTTCTCTCAGAAAACTGCTGCTTATATTTTCCTTTGAGACATGTTATTGCCACCTGTCTTTTAGCATATCAGCAGTTTGGTCTCTACATTGGCTTTAAAATGACACAGATCAAAGATTTGCTGAGTGATATGTTTTACAGCTATTGACGACAGCTATGACCTGTCAGACCCGTGTTGTGTGGGGCCACACGGTGGAATGTATTATACATGAGCTGTACTGATACAGGTTGGACCTTGTACAGCTCACGTTAGATAATCTGTGCATCATGTTACAGTTAGTATAGCCATGATTTTGCTTCAGTGGTATTTGATTATTCAATGTCTCTGTATTCAAACTTAATCAAGTAAGAGACTCTTTACTGTACCTCATTCAGTTTCAAGTTAGATGTGTCAAATCACCATAATCTCTGTATCGCAATACTAACATGGATGCACAATACATGAACACGCAGCACTTTCCATGTTACAGACTTGAATTCCATCTCGACAAATAGTGACGGAAGGCTAAATATACTTGAGTCAAACAAATAGTCATTCGGGAACTTTTTGTTCATTCCAAAAACATTATTGTTTTTATTTTATTTGGATACCAAATAAGATGTATTACTTGCTTGTAGATATATTGTGTTGTGTCAGGCCCGTTGTTTCAAATTTGTATGGGTCCTTATTGCCTGCTGTAAATTTATGTGTTGATTTATTGGTCACAATAAGCTGCATTTTTTTCAAAATGAGGCCCTGAAGAGTTTAGTCAGGGCCTGCAGCTTCTAGGGTCTGTGTTGTATTTCAAACACTGCAAGGAAATGAGCTTCACTCATTCGTCCTCACAAATTATATTCTTTTCCTTACAACACATATTGGCTATTTGTTCAATTATTTTATATTGCCTGTTAGGCAGCCTTTATAGGATCACAGCCAGTGATTATGTAGAGGATCTAAAACACTAAGCTACGTAACACCCATGTCCTCAGTTATGCTTGGGACTGTAAGACCTGAGAATAGGAAGCTAAGGGAAAGTCAGACCGAGGGTTAAGCCTGAGGTCTTACTTTCCTGAAGCTTTCTATACAAGAGCTTACAGTCCCCAGCATAACCGAAGACATGGGTCTGATGTAGCTTAGATACCGAAAAATAACGATGAAATATGTCAAATATCAAGGAAAACAAATATTAGCTGGTTTGTCCTGCCAAAATCAAAGGGGCCTTGGCCAATGCTAATTTAATTTTGTACATGCAACATGTTTCTTGTGACTACAGCAAGCGTGCAGCTATATCATTTCTCAATATGGAAGATAGTAAGTATTTATGAAATCATTCAGACGTAATTGCACATTCCAGTTTATGATCAATTTACAAGAACAAGGGGGTTCATGTGTTTTTTCGAGTAAAACACATTCTAGTCCTTTGTATCATGTAAACATGTTTCCATCAATCAGGAATGCATACAATCTGTTTTAAGATCAGATCTTTTACATAAATATGATATTCTTTGCTTTAAGGTCTTATGAAACCTCCATAGCAGGTTCTGTCAGGTGAAAGTTTTAATCAACCAATCTGCCCCAAAGCTTCTAAATTCTTGGTATATCTGTGTCTCTAAAATGAACTAAAATGGCAATTTCCGAATGGAAATAAATAAGGGTGTACTGTACTATTATATTGTCGTGGATGTTTTATGCATCCTGTTGTTGCTGAGCACCCAGGAATCTACTCCCAAAAATGTGGGTTTCCATCTGTACAAAATGAAATTTATGAATGCAGGTGATTAAAAAAGAATCCAAATCCTTTTACAAAGCTAACGTCTGATTGGCCCAAGGACCCACACATCCTTCACTTACATTGGGCGGACAGTTCATTCAGGGTTCACCTTTCACTACCTGTTATGGAGATGTCCTCTGATCTTCATGCAAAGAGTTATCATATCAGAGTCAAATATATGATTTTAATGAGATTGGACTGCATATCACATATTACAAAACTATTGGATCCATATCTCATATCTGACATTTATTCTTTCTAACATTTACATCTTTCATAAGCAAACAATGCTTCACATGTTGGTGCTGGCGATTTCCTTTTTGTATATGTATTAGTATGACTTGATCTTTGCTGTCTTCTGTTG